TCCTCTCTGAAATCAATAAAAATGTGAATATATATAGTTTTAAACCTGCCCCCACCCCCCATTGGACAAAGGTAAAGAGAGGGACAAACCAGGAAGATTCCTACAGCACTGACTAACCCAGTGAAACCTAGACATATAACATATAACCACTTAAGAAATTCTGGAATGGTTTACTCCCAAGAGGTAAACACTGGTTTACTCAAGAGTTCCCTAACTATAGTGCTGTTGTCAACAGGTGAAGCAGTTCTTCATGGTTGGGGACTGTCCCAGCTTTGTCAGGACATTTAGCATACCTGGTCCCCAGGGCACTAAACTCCCATTACAATAACCATTAAATAAACAAACAAAGAACCCACCCACTCCCAGACAAAGGGTTGTACACGCCCATGAGGAACCACTTAGAAGGCTAGAATTACATCTTTTTTTTCTTACCTGCATTTTTCTAATTTTTCTGCAAAGACTAGGTATTGTTTTCGTGAAAAGGAAACTATGTCCCTCCCCCCCCCCTTTTTTTAAAGGGACTCAACAGGATAGAGTACTTCAGATTCCAGCTGTCAGAAAGCCTATTCTGTCTTCCCCAGCTAAGTTTGCTCATGACAAGAATGAAAAGTGATCTTACATTATTACACAGGCGCTATAATTCATTTTAAAGTCATCAATAACAAGAAGGGTACACCTAACTCAGCTTCTGACAAATCACTTTTAGTCTCAGGTGCTGCAGACCCTGACGGGATCACGGCATCCTACAAATCCCAGGTCAAGGACTGGATTGCTTTTCGTTTGTTATAACATTTTAGAAAGGGAACAAGTACAATTTGGTTTCAACGCGATGTTATATTAGCACGGCCTGAAGTGTGGTTAGCAGCTACCCCTCACCCCGGTGAGAAAGCCAGGGCAATTCTGACGACAAATTTGGGGAAACATTGTGTTTTGTTCTCTATTATTTCATTTCCCCTGGGACAGGGTGGGGGAAGTCAGGCTCTTAGTAGTTCTTTGTTTCGGTATTTTGTTTTGCTTTTTCCTAAGGCAGAAAAGTTAACATTCTTCTGGGTTTATCGTAACCTCCGGGGCTGGGACAGCAATAGTTTGAAACCTGCCCCGCATTGGACAAAGGTAAAAAGAGGGACAAACCAGGAAGATTCCTACAGCACTGGCTATCCCAGTGAAACCTAGAAGCATGCCAGCTTTACAACGGAAAGCTGAGGAAACCAAAACTGTATTTCCTAATGACAGGAAACTGTAACAGTGGGGGAGATCTCAGACCCTGAGAAATGCTCCTGGTATATGGTAAGTGAACACAGCAGGTCTTTAATCCATTAAAAAAAAATTATAAAAAGAATACATATATATATATATATATATATATATATATATATGTATTCTTTTTATAATTTTATATATATATATATATATATATATATATATATATATATATATATATATATATATATAAAGTATAAAGGGGGTTTCAGAAAAAAAAAACATACTGAAAAAATGCCAAGATAAAAATTAAAATTTTAAGGGAAGGCAGGGGAGGATGGGGGCAGATGGTGAGGGGGTAAGAGATCAACCAAAAAACTTGTATGTATATAAGCATAACCAATGGCCACAGACAACGGAGGGAGAAGGGGGGGGAAATGAAGGACGGCCTGAGCGGGGCAGGGGCAGGCTAGGAGAGGACAATGGGGGAAGGGGACATATGTAATACTTTTAACAATAAAGAATTAAACATATAATCGAGCTACCATATAACCCAGCCAAAAGTAAAAATTTAAATGTTAAAGTTCTCCTTAAAGATACCTAAGTTTTCCTGACTGAGAGAACACACCAGCTCCCCAGTATAATGGAAGAAAACGAACTCACATGAAGGCCCACAGGTCTTAGGCAACCCTGCTATTGGTTCTCAACCTGTGGGTCACTGCTGTAGACCATCGGAAATCACATATATTTACATTATGATTCATAACAGTAGCAAAATTACAGTTATGAAGTAACAACGAAATAATGTTATGGTTGGGGGTCACCACAACATGAGGTGCTGTATTAAAGGGTCTTGGCATTAGGAAGGTTGAGAACCACTGTTCTACAGGCTTCCAGAAGAAAAAAAGGGTCACGAACTGGAATAAACAGGGCATTTGAGATCTTTCCCGGCAATTGTCAGTTTTGGTTCAAACTCTTATAAAATATTTTTTAAAAAGAATTATAATAAGTATTTTTTTTAATAACTAGAATAACTAGAAGACAACAGAGAAATACTTTATAAAAATCTTGGAGGAAAAAAACCCCCCCACAATTTCTAATCTAACATTCTTTACCCAAACTATGAATTATGGGTAACAGTTGGATCAAGACATTTTGAAAGATGCAAATCTCAATGTACAGAGGAAACTGCGAGAGGCTGTGTGCCCCCTCCCAAAAGGAAGGCAAGACAGGGGGGACGCTGCTCCTGGGAAGCAGGGGATCCAGCCCAGGTGGTGCAGGAGACCCCAGCCATCGGCTGTGCCCGCGTGAGCTGGGAGCAGCCCAGGGGCTCCCTGCATTCTGAGGGTGACCCTGGCAGGACACCTCTCAGTGCCGTCTCAGAATGTGTCTCCGTTTTTCTAAGAAGAGATGTAGACAACCAAGGCACCATGAGTGACTACATGTCCAGAAAGAATGACTAACTCCCAGGAAAACAAGAAAGGGGGCAGGCAGGGAAAAGTGCTCCTAGACTCCTCGGTGGTTCTAAGGTCAACACCTGTCATTGATCTAACCCCAAAGAGAGCGGGAGGGCGGAGGGTGTATGTGTAACGAGGTGGTACAGGGGTGGCTGTCTAAGGCCCGAGGAATCATTGGGTCTGGCCCCGCAGAGGCATTGGCGGGGAGTTAATGAAATGTCTGACCACAGAGAGCAGGCTAATCTTTAAGTGGGTACTTTGGTACGGCCCTCGGATGATATTATAAATATCCCCAAATAGCCCTTGGCAGAAAAAAGGTTCCCCACCCCTGATTTAGAGTTCTAAGGGATTTGAATGTTCGTCCCTCTAGGTATGGAGACTGTGGGTTAACATGTCTGCCTACAGACTCAATGATCCTATAAACGTGTGCATATATAGCGCTGGCAAGAATTCAAGCTCCACGGTAGCAGTCGTTAAGAGTCATTTTGCTGCCGAGAATGGTTTGGCTCAGTGGATAGAGCGTCGACTTGGGGACTGAAGGGTCCCGGGTTCGATTCCAGTCAAGGGCATGTACCTTGGTTGCGGGCATATCCCCAGTAGGGGGTGTGCAAGAGGCAACTAATCAATGTCTCTCTCTTTCTCATCGATGTTTCTAGCTTTCTATCCTTCTCTCTTCCTCTCTGTAAAAAAATCAATAAAATATATTTTTTTAAAAAAAAGTGTCATTTTGCTTACATGGTTTCTGGCTTTTTTCCAAAAAATGTATTGAAATCTAAAAGGATGCATGCTGATAGATCCACGGTGGCTGCTTCTAGGGATGGGATAGTGGGCCATGTACACGTTTTCCTTTTCTACTTTCTGAAAAAAGTGTGGAACACAGAGCTTACTGATCATTAATGAGGAAAACAAGAAGCATTTTACTGTATACCGGGTTGAAATCCGCCCCAGGGTAGAAGCCCAGCCCTGTCCCCTTAGCTTATGTTTGCTCTGAAAGAGCAGGGGGGCTGCCAGCTCCTTCACTCGCACGGCAAATATTTGTTGAATTCCTATAAGCCAGGCCCTCCTACAAGGCGATTCTAATCCCTGAGCTTTTTATTGGGCCTTTCGAAGTCCTTCCACACCAGCTGGGGGCGGGGGATTCAGTAGACAGGGGAGCCAGGGGTGGGGGCAGAGAAAGAGGGGTGTCTGAGACAATTTGGAGGAACAAGTAAGCTCCGTGCAGTACACAGCTTTTGCTGAAGGTTCTCAGTCTTCTGTCACTTGTGCACCATCCTGGCTCCCAGTCCCCACCCCCACGTAGGCTAGATCTTCATCCCCCAAGTGTTCACAGCAAAGTATGGGATACCAGGCGGAAGGGGCACTGGCTAGATAGCTGGATGGGATGCCCATTACCGTGAAGAGCAGGCCCCTGGCAAGCAAGATAGGCCCGGGTTTGAATTTCAGCTCTTCCACCTGGGAGGGGGGTGTGGTGGGTTGACTTCCTTCCCCTCTCTATGCCTCAGTTTCCCCACATGCAAAATGGGATAGTAACCGAAGCCACCTTCCCGGGGCAGGGCTGTTGTGTGGGTTACAGAAGGCCAGAAGGCATCTAAGAGCTTGAGGAGACCCTGGAACATGGAAGAAAGAGACAGTGGCCACCGGTCCTTTTCCAGCTGAGAAGGACTGGCTGGACTTCGCAGGAAATCCCTTAACCTCTCAGCCTCCACGCCCTCCTCCTGGGAAGAGGGGAACGCACATGCCCGGCCTGCTCCCCAGGAATGCTCTCAGCCCACACCAGGATGCGCCCCAGCCCCCCAAGCGGGAGGGAGAGCCCGCGGTCCTCAGCGGTGGGGGCCCTCAGACGGCATTCAGCCAACATCTCCTGACTCGCCTCCACGTTATTATTGCCAGGGAGAATATGAGGGAAAGGGATGAATCCTCGCCTCTCTCCCCCCACCTTCCGAAAGCTTTGCTTTAGGGAGGAGGCCACCCACGTGGGGAGCAGGTGAGGGCGTGCACTAGGTGTCTGTGACTCCCATTCACATCAACTCCCGGCTCCCCAGCCTCGCAGCTCCCAGGAGGAGGCTCCATCACCGGCTGGGAGAACCCCGACGGACATCCTGGGGGGCGGGGGTGGGGGTCCCCAAGCCTCGTCCCCAAGAGGACCGGACCTCGCTCCGAGAGGCGGGCTCTGAGTGGTAGTTGCACTTTGGAAAGAAGGCGAAACGGAGCGAAAAGGCCCGTCCGCGGACCGGCGCTGGCTCCGGGCCGAGGAGCGCGCGCGCCCCGGTCCCTTTGCGCCCCCCGCCCACCCTCACCCCAACACCCGGCCCCCCGGCCCCCGGCCCCCGCCCCCGCACTCACGATCTCCGCCACGATGAGTAGCCCTGGCGCCGTGCGCAGGAACTCCCGGTCGTAGGCGAAGGAGCTGCTGCTGGTGGAGAAGTTCTCGGCGAAGGAGCTGGCGGTGGTGGTGACGGTGTGCGGGCGGGGGCGCGGCGGCTCCTCCATCGTCGGGGCTCGGCCGGGCGGGCCCTTCCGCGGGGACCCCCAGCGCGCCGGGGGCAGGACGCGCGGCCCGGAGCCCGGAGCCTGGAGGGGGATCCGGGCGAGGGGGAGGGGAGCGCGGCCGGCGCCAGGAACGGGGCGCGCAGGGGGCGCCCCCGGGGCCGTGTGTCCAGCGAGTGCGCGGCGCCCCCCGCTCCTCGGCTGCGGGTTCCCGGGCGGCGAGGGGGCGCGAGGGGCGGAGGAGGAGGAGGAGGAGGAGGCAGGGCCGGCGCTGGGGAGGCCCCGGGCGGCCGGGCGGGCGACGGAGGCCGGGGGGAGGGGAGGGGGCGTGGAGAGGGGCGGGCGCCGGGCTCGCGGGGAGGGGCCGGGGCGCCGCGGGCCGGGGCCCTCCACCTGTTGCCCAGGCCGGGGCGGCTCGGGGCGCGGAGCGATGCCCAGGCGGCGGGGCGGGGTGCGGGGTGCAGGGTGTGGGGTGCAGGATGCGGGGTCCGGGCTCCCGCTGCCCCCGGCCCGGCGCAGGCTCCGCCCCCGAGGGCGGGCGGCCGCGCTGACCTGTCCGCTTCCACCTGACGGCGGCCCGGGCTGCGGGCGCCCCGGGGGCACCGAGGCCGCCAGCTGAGCCCTCCGAGCAGGGGGAGGGTGTGCCCGGGCGGCGGGAACTCTGACCCGCCGGACCTTAGACCGGATCGATGCGGGGAGGCCCACGGGACTGACTGCCCGGGGGTTCGCCCCCACCCCACCCCCGCCCCGGTCCCCACCAGCGGCGGCATTTCCTGCCCCTCCTGCCGGGAACAATGCGAGGAACCGGCCTCATCGCCGGGCTGGGAGGGCGAGACCCCGCCGGGCCCACGCAGTGGCCCCGCCGCGGGGATCCGCGGAGCCGAGGGGCCGGCTCCGGGCGGGAGAGGGGGGAGGAGGGCATTTGGGTCTCCGGTCACTCTCGGAGGGAAATGTTGGAAGAGAAAGCTCAGACAGTGTGGGTGTGCAAAGTGAATGCTGTGACCTACGGACGGTGCTTTTCGTGCTCAGTATTAGCATGTGCGCCTCTGCACGCCAAGATGCAAAGGGCCCCCAACCCATTTCTTTCTTTAAAAAAAAATTTTTTTTTTAAATTGACTTAAGAGAGGAAGGGAGAGAGACACACCATTGCATGCTCCCACGGAGAGCAGCTTGCAACCTGGACATGTGCCCTGACCAGGAATCCAGCCGTGACCTCTTGGTCCAAAGGTCAGTGCTCAACCACTGAGCCATGCGGGCTGGGCCGCCAAACCATTTCATTCAACGAATCAAGCAGGGACTTTCCTCCTCGAGGAGCTGCTGTGGGGTAAATGCGTTACAGGGTCAGGGTTTCAGAAAGCAGTTAGTGGTTGTGTAGGGGAACCCCGCGGACTGAAGGGTCCTATTTGTGAGCACCTTGGCATAGGGTCAAGTGGGACCTGAGCTCCAGCACTGAGGCACTGCCTTCCTCAGCTGTACCACCATGAGCAAGGGGCTGCACCTCAGTGGTACCATCTGTAAAATGGGCTTTGACAGGTGGACTTCTCATCCAAAAAGAGCATGTTCTGGGTGGCCCCTCCTTCTGTTTCGTGAAAGGATGACAAGAGACAAATGTTATTTAGGAAACCACCGAAAGGAAAGGACATAATCCTTGGTCACAAATAGAGAATAGCTTTGGGTTCACAGCAGAGGCATTCACTCTGATCTGTTCCAACACAGGCTGAAAAAACGGGGTCAGAAGTAACATTTTATCCACACAACGTCCTATCAGCTGAACTAAGAGGAGCAGAAACTACCATCTGAGAAAACAAGGAATTTGTTTCTTTTCAGTCTAGAGCCAACTTGGAGGACCTTAGGAATGAAAGTTAAGTCTTCTGACACAGTGCAAAGATAAAGGTTTGGGCCGTAACTGCTTTGGCTCAGTGGATAGAGTATCGACCTGCAGACTGAAAGGTCCCGGGTTCAATTCCAGACAAGGGCATGTACCTTGGTTGCGGGCACATCCCCTGTGGGAGGTGTGCAGGGGCAGCTGATCGATGTTTCTCTCCCATCGATGTTTCTAACTATCTCTCTCCCTTTCTCTCTGTAAAAAATTAATAAAATATATATTTTTAAAAAGGTAAAGGTTTGGGGAAGTTCTGTCCAGAGCATTTGTTAAGCACCTTGCACTGGTGGGCAAATGCAACAAAAATTAAAACATGGCCCTCTCCCCAGGAGGAGGGGTTCTCCAGGTATGGTCCCTGGACCAGTGGCATCAGCATCACCTAGGCAACTGTCAAAAATGCAAGTTTTCAAGCCCCACTTCACACCCATTGAGTCAGACACTGGGCTGGGGGAGGCGGGTAGCTGGGGGGGATGCAGAGCCCACGAAGCTGTATTTGAACCAGCCCTCCAAGTGACTGTGATGCATGCTGAAGTGTGAGAGTTACTGATTTCAGGAAAGCGATCATGTCACTGGGGAAATGTGAGATACACATGTGAGATGCCTGGAGGAGTGTGTGGCATCCTTCGTGACATTTTGGGAACGCAGGAAGACAGGAAGGAACTGTAGACAGCTCTATTTCTGTAATACAAAGGACAATTCCTCCTCACAAAACCCTTGCAGCCAGATGGATTTCAAAATTCAGATTTTTTTTTTTTTTTTGGAAAGGTAAAATGTACATACACCATATACTCCTTAACACCCTCGGTAAGGGCTGCAATGGCCTTCTCATCAAATACGCTGACTTTCTGCGGTGAAAATATATGGATGATGTTCAGTGTGTGTGTGTTGCAATTTCATAAACACTCCTCAACCATGAGCGGTGTAAAAGGACAGTGGTCTGTGGCTCAGGGACTTGGGCAGAGTTTGGCTGGCGGCTCTTCTGCTCCATGTAGGTGTTGATTGGAGCCGTTCATGCAGCTGATTCCACGTGGGCAGGCCTGGAAAACTCCAAAAGGCTTCACCCATTCTGTTCACTCGTGTGCTGGCACTTCTGGCCTCTCTCTCTCCATGAAGCTTAGGCTTCCTCCCAGCATGGTGGGCTCAGGGTACTTCCACATGGTACCTTCCAAGAGGGATCCTTCAAAGAGGGGCTAAAGAGAGGCAAGCTCTCCCAAGGTCCAGTGTTGAAAGCTACCCAGCATCATTCCTGCCACATTCCCCTGGGGAAAGCCAGGGGCAAGGGCAGCTTAGAGTCTGACAAGGGACTAGAAACCGCCTCGGGTGGACGGAGCAGAATGGCGGCCACCTTTTAATTCAGGAAGAGGGATAAATAAAGACAGCAAATAGCTTCACGTCTGTTTAAGTCAAGGTTTCCTACCAAACACGTTGTCTGCAAACTTAAGAGGACATTCAACATTTTATTTTTTTAAAATACATTTTTATTGATTTCAGGGAGGAAGGGAGAGGGAGAGAGAGAAACATCAGTGATGAGATAGAATCATGGGTCAGTTGCTGGGGATGGAGCCTGCAACCCGGGCATGTGCCCTGACCAGGAATTGAACGTGACCTCCTGGTTCATAGGTCGATGCTCAACCACTGAGCTACACCAGCCAGGCAGTTTTCAACTTCTTAGATTTCAGAATTACAAAGAAGCAACGGAACATTGGCTGTTGACCAGTTGGCTGCTCCTTTCTAACAGCTACCTAAGCTCAGGTGCTCATAGTCTGTCCAGAACAGTCCTGATTGGCGTCCCTTCCTCCAATGACATATTCATCCAATCCCTCCTCTTCCCCCCGCCCCCCATCTTCCTGCAAGAATTATGGCCCTGAAACCCCAGGCTCAAATCTAGGCTAACATCGCACACTAACAGTGTGAAAGCCTCTGTAAAGTGGTTGAGTCTCTTCCCAGCCCTTTACCCAACCAGCCTACAATGCTTGCCAGGCCTGCCCAGCCCCCAATACATTGTCACATGTCTCTGCAGCTGTGACCGTTTTATGCCCACAACCAACCTTTCTCAATCTACAAAGCCTCCTGCCTTCATCCACAGTTCAAATTCTGCATCCTTCAAGTCCCATTTCAAAAGCCACTTCTGTGATTTCCTCTGGATTTTCATAAAGCTTGTTCTTTCCTTTAGATTTCATTCATCTTTATGCACTTCTCTTGGCTGTTTCTTGGGGAACTATGAATCACCTCTCTTTGTTTCCTACCAGGGCCATGGGGGCGTGCTGAGACCCGAATGTTCTTGTGAAGTGCAGAAAAATATCAAAGGAAATAAGGGTAGACCCTGCCCCCTGATAAAAGACATTATGCAGAACAGAGCTTTGAGCTGAGACTTGTGGGAAGTATATGCCTTGTAAACATTGGGTGAGAAGGTGGGCAGGCGGGACCTCACCCCCTGAAACCCAGGCCATTCAGTGGGGACCTGCGCTCATAAATAACTCAGTGGAGAAAAAAATGGACACCCTGTGACTCCCACCTGCTATCTGAGAGAGACAAGATTAAGGGACATTCCCTTTTATGAAGAACTTTTCATAGATTAGCCGATCATGTTTCTCTTCATTATTGTTCTAGTTTAAAATTATTGGTGATTGTTTCGGGCAAGAATCATCAATGGATATTAGAATTAGTGGGTGAAAGTATGATGGGGGAAAAAATGGGGAGGAGGGGAATCTTTATCTCATCTGGGAGTATTTCCAGATACTATACTCTCTTCCTAATTCATAAGTAGCTTTGCAATGGAGAAACTTGTGAGCCACCAGCAGATTTCTAAGTTAATTATCACCAGACAGCATGTACCTCCTGTTAGGAGGCACTGGGTAAGAAACAACATCGCTTCTGTGGTATTCTTACCAGCATAAATATCCTGGATTTAATCATGGTGAGAGAACAGATAGGCTAAAATGAAGGGACATCTTATTAAGAGCTGTTAAAAATAAACAACAGACCCAAAATGGAATCACTCTTGCTAAGCCCCATCAAGACTTAATTCCTAATTTAATTGCAGTCAGAGCCTCTCCCAGGAGTGGAATTTTAAACCAATTAGTCTGGAATTTCCTCGCCAGTCCTAGTGAGATAATTTGCCTGACAACTCCCCCCCCCCCCCCCCCCCACACACACACCTTCTTCTCCTAAGGGAAGGTGGTTTTGCCTGAAATAATCCACTCTTTTAACTTTCTTATCCCACTCTTTCTGCCTATAAGACATTTCCATTTTGTACAACTCCTCCAAGCA